CTGGGTTCTGTTCCAATGACCCGATTCGAGCGTCACGGAACCGGAAGCGTGACGGTACGTGATGGGGAGGGAGGGGGATGAGGGCTCGTTCTCTCGTCGATTCGTTAATGTCGTTGGATATTGGTAACAATTTCGCGATTGAATGATCGGGGAGTTTCGATTAATTTTCTTCCCCGTATGCGTTCCTGGTGTGCTCTCGAGGGGAAACGGGAATTTTCATCGATTTCGGCGAATGATATGATTCGATCGATGCGTAGAGAAAATAGAATTGTTATTTTTCTTTTTTTTTTTTTTTTTGTCAGTTTAGAAGTAAAAGTAGATATATAAATGCGAGAAATGTTTATACAGCGTGTATAAATATTTGGATAGTCATTGAAACTTTACAAAAAGTGAATATACAATATTTGTGCAACACTCGAGTCTTCGATATGAAGTTTTATTTAACATTAAACAGATTTGGTGTTTGTATGCGTTTGAATCAAAAAATTTCAAGTCAATCGGAAATCTTTTTTCTTTTTAATTTTAGTTTTAGAATTTTTAAATAGAACGAATTAGATCTCGTTATGAAATTTTATCGATAATATCAGTTGAACGAAGGGGGAATTTTTATTTTTTAATTTAGCTGGCTAATTTTAAAGAAAAATCGATAAATACTGCATTGTCCCGATTAATTAAACTTGTTGTACGAATAACTTGCCATAATATTAATTAATCAACAAAATTAAATTAAACTGAAGCATAGACGATGAGTTCCTTTCGTGCTACTAAAAAATTAAAATTAATAACAAATCGACAACACTTTTTTCGCTCTGTACAATTTAAAAGTCTCGACGAAATTTCTCAACCTCTTAATCTCAGTAGTAATAAACGTTCCGCATAATTGTAGGTACAAACGCGATGCTGGAACGTGAATAAAGTAAAATAGATCCGAGGGTAGTCGTTGTATAATGCATATAAAAATAAGAAAGCTATCACACCTCGTAGCTCGTTCGTATTGGCCGTCTCTTTGAAAAGATCGAACCACCCCTTTCCATGCTCCCCCTTTATATAAATATTTGCACGAAAATATTTACCCTGTTCGTTTATCGGACGAAAATTCCTTTTAATAGATCGTACGACGGGGAAACAATGTACGTGGATCGAGAAAGGAATAACAAGAAAAAGGTGGAACAGGTTGTGGAGCACCAAAGAAAAGAGAAGAGAAAGCAAAAAAAAAAAAAAAGAAGAAGAAGGAAAAGTCCTGATGGAGAAGAACGAATTTACCAGAGAGAAGCAAAAGTTGAGTCACAAAGGATATTAAGGATGTAAATGGGCAATTCAACGAACATTTACGCGTGTTCGAGCAACGACAAAAATCAAAACTCGCGTCTGGCATCGGTTTAAAATCGGATGGAGCCACTTTACGGATCGATGGAAAAATTTTTCGACGAAACGCTTGAACGCTCGGCAAATCTGTAACGAACATTCAAGCTCGATAAAGAACCGAAACGGGAAGAGAATGTCGACGGATTGATGAATTAATAAAAAAAAAAAAAAGAAACAGGAAAAAAGAAGGAAAGAGAGAGAAGAGAAAACAAAAAAATAGAGGGAAGAAAAATGCAGCCAGTCGGACTCGTGACGGAGCGAATCAAGCTCTGAGATCGCGTTTCCCTTTGTTTATTCGTTCTTTGTCTATTCATTCACTCGCTCTTTTCAGGTTTGCCTACTAATGGAAGAGCAGTTGAGAGTGTGTCAGTGAAACAGGTCGATGTTCTGTCCGACGGGCCTGAATTGAATCCATAGTTCGTTGTAATAATAAAAAGGAAAAATAAAAAAACAAGAAAGAAAAAAAACAAAAAAAAAGAACATGGGATTCCATTTGCTTGGCAACTGGTACGACTGGCAGAAGGAGAAATCATTTCCACGATATGACCTGCATGCCAAGTTTCGCGTGTTTACTTGAGCCCCGTGGTCGCGATCCATCATCCTCTCCATCCCGGTTTATCTTTCAACGAACCCCATTATACCACCATGATCGAGTTCCTAAGATATTTTTCGGGGATAAGAACCGTTGAAGCGATCGGTTCTCCGGGTCTTGAAAGTGGATTTTGTTTGATGAGGATATTACATCAAAGTTTTACGCCAATATCGTAGAACTTTTTGTTTCTCTCCTCGATACGTAATTTCCTTACGTATATAAATCCTTTGATTGCTCAATATATATGTATAAAATTTCTATATACATATATACCAATAAATTTGAAATTTGAAACGAAAATGGTACAAACTTTGAGCTTGAAATAATAGAGTTAGATCATTGATGTACGTCGCTGGCTATAATAATGGCTCTGTCAATTATGATACAATAGGTTCGAGAAGCGTGCTCGCATTATAATAAATCATACTTGATCACAGCTCGTTAAAGCACATCCCCATTAGAGTTCATTCAGTTGTAATCCCGAATAGTTTTGGTCATTTAAACTCTTAGAGAAAATTACATCGAATCTCTCCATTCAAAATTCGAAGAAACGAAGAAATATGAAACACGCAATGTGGCAAAAGCCACCACGCATACATCCAAATTCCCTTTATCCAAATATTTGAAATAATTGCAATCGTTTCGAAAGAAAAAGAACAACTCTAAAATCTTTCTGCGAAAACGAGGAGATAAACCCCATAAAACGCGCCCCTTT